TCTCTGAAGCTTGACCTTGTCTCTCACATTTTACCCAGTCTGGTGACTCAAGCACAGCTTTAAAGAGATTGGCTGTGGCAAGAGGGGCAGATGAACTGGGAGAGGTAATGCTACTGCTGTCAATTGGCTCTTCTCAGCGTCTGAAGATGAGTCTTAGGGCTGGCCTGACCAGGAGGTGTCTTGAAAGACTAGCTTTGGCCAAAACCGGTTTGGCTCAGTGGATAGAGCGTCAGCCTGTGGACGGAGGGGTCCTGGGTTTGATTCCGGTCAAGGGCATGTACCTTGGTTGCGGGCACATCCCCAGTGGGGGGTGTGCAAGAGGCAGCTGGTCAATGATTCTCTCATCGATGTTTCTGACTCTCTATCCCTCTCTCTTCCTCTCTGTAAAAAAAAATCAATAAAATATATTTTTAAAAAAAGAAAAAAGACTGGCTTTAACTACATATGAGCCTGAGTTGAATAACTTCACAGCGTGACAAATTTAGCTTCAAAGCTTAGAGAAAGTATCCTCTACTCTCCAAGCTCATGTTTCCTCATCTGTAAGAGGTGGGGCAATGGGCCCTTGGATCTCGAAGGGCCCCTGTATCTGGAGTGGGTAGCTGGATTTCCCCAGGACTTACAGAAGATGTAGTTTACAATGATGGCCACCAGAAGGACTGCAGTTTCACAGCGCTGGTGTGTCACTGAAGGAAGAGGTTCACAGCCCATCACTGCATGAGGAGACTAGAGGACCCGGAGGTGACCTGCCTTCCCTGGGCAGGAGACCCATTCCCCCCTCCCTCCTCATCACTCCTCTCCTCTCCCTTTCTTTTCTGCCATATCTCTGGCTATCTCCTTTCCCTCATCCACCTCACTTCTTTTTTTCTCTTCTTCAATCGCCAATTTACTCCTTTATTCCCCTCCAAAATGGCAGCTAAGGCTTCTGCTCCTTTCTCCGTGTTGCAAGTCCCTGGAAGCCTGGTTTCCCTGCCTTGGACACCTGAGTGGGACAAGTACTCTTCCCTGTCCTCCAGGCTTATCCTGTGTCATGGCAACTGTACTCCTTCCTCCTGGAGTGTTCTGAGCTCTTCGTCCAGGATGACCTGCCCTGCCCTCTTCTCTTTTCTTTTGGTGGTTCCAGCACATTCACCAGCCAGTAGTTAAAATGATCTCTTCCTCCTTCCCTCCCTTCCCTCCCTCCCTCCCTCCCTCCCTCCCTCCCTCCCTCCCTTCCTTTTTCCCTCCCTCCCTCCCTTCTTCCCTCCTTCTCTCCTTTCCACCCTCTCCCCTCTCCCTCTTCTCCTAAAATTTTCAAATTTACAGAAAACCTACAAGAATAATTCCTATATACTTTTCACTTAGGTTCCCCTATTTTTAACATTGCTTTATGCTGTATATGTATATGTATATGTATATGTATATGTAGACATATAGACATAGAATTTTTCTAAACAAGTTGCAGGCATGATATTTCTTTACCCATAAATATTTCAGTGTATAAATTTTTTCAATACTCACCTGAAGATATGTTCATTGATTTTTAGACAGAGAAATATTGATGTGAGAGAGAAACATCGACCAGTGTCCTTCCATTCAATCCCACTGGGAATAACCTTCAACCTAGGTTTGTGCCCTGACTGGGAATTGAACCTGCAACCTTTTGGTGCAGGGGACAACACTCCTACCAACTGAGCACCCGGCCAGAGCAGTGTGTATTTCTTAACAGCAAAGACATTCTATTACAAAACCACAGTGCAATGATCACAAATCAGGAAATTCACATTGATGTGATACTATTATATAACTACAAACTTTATGCAAACTGTACCAGTTTTTCCAGTAGTGTCCTTTATAGCAAATGAAAAAAAAATTTTTTTTCTAGTCCACTATCCAGTCCAGAATCATGTACTGCATTTAATCATCCTATCTCATTTGTCTCTTTTATTCTGGGAAAATTTCCAGGTTTTCTTTGTCTTTCATGGCTTGTGACATTTTTGAAGGGGATAGGCCAGGTATTTTATAGAATACACCTCAATTTTTGTTTAGACTCAGGTTCTGTATTTTTCTCAGATCATGTGTAGTTATACTGTTGGATAAAGCTTGGCATATTTTCTTTTTCATCTTTTTAAAAAAAATTCTCAACTAAGGACATGCTTAGAGAGAGGAAGGGGAAGAGAAAGAGAAAAGAAGAAGGAGAGGGAGAGGGAGAGGGAGGGAGAGAGAGAAGGAGTTAGAATGATGGAAGATTTTAGTTACTAAGTCTGTAATACTAAAAAAAAGTATAATTTAACAAAAGTGAGGTAGGTCTAATTATTTAAATATTATTGTTGGCTTTCAATTATCACTATCATTCAGCTTCTAAAAAATCATGTTTTCTCATAGAATAATTTTTTTTGTGTGTAATGGTTCTGAGTTCTTAGATCTTTGTTCTAATTTGCATACTTGCTCTTTAGGCAATCTGCACAGCTTCCACCCTGAGATTTATTTTTATGACATTCCTCTCATGTTTTTTGATTTCCTATGTCTTTTGGGGAGGGAGATTTCTTGGAGAATGTCCTTAAATCATTTCCTCAGAATCTATGGATTGTAAAACCCTTTAGTCTTTATATATAAAAATGTCTTTATTTTTAAAGCACACTTGAATGATAATTTAGTTGGGTATTAAATGCCAAATTCAAAAATAAACTTCCCTTAGAATTTGGAATCTATTTTTCAGTTTCCTTCCTGCAGCTTAGTGTTATTAGTTAGATGTGTGATGATAATTTGATGATCTGTTTCTTGTTCCTTTATGGGTAACCCGTTTTCTCTCCGAGAGTCTTTAGGATCTTCTCTTGCCACTTAGGATGCTGAGTTGCCAAAAAATAAGGCTTGGTTTGAGTCTTCTATGGTTCACTTTGTTTGTATACCCCTTCACTATTAAGATTCATACTTCCAGGCTTCAGAAATTGATCTCTCTCTCTCTCTCTCTCTCTCTCTCTCTCTCTCTCTCTCTCTCCTCTCCATTTTATTCATTCTATCTTTTTCGGAGTCATAAAAAGAAATCTTGTATTTTTGCTTTTGCTTTGGAGTTTCCTCTTGACTTTTTTTCCAGATGTTTTATTGAAATTTTACACTTGAACAATTGAATTTCAACTTCCAAGAACTTTTTCTTTTTTAAAGATTATTTGATTTTTTATTATCCTATATTTATTTTAGGGATGCAATATTTTTGGCTTTTTCTGAGAATATTAATTGGAATTTTTAATTGTATTCTGTTCCCTGAATTTTCTGTGTTCGGTGTTCTTGCTAACTCCACAGTTGTTCTTTACCCTTTAACTCTTTTGGTAAGAAAGCTTCCCTCTTCCACTGCTATCTTTTACTATGTTTATTTTGCCCGAGATGTTATCTATTCTATGATCTCATGTGCTTTCCATGGCCCCAGAAATTTATCTAAACTTTTAAGACTTTCATTTTGATAGTGAAAAAAAAATTCTGTCATTTGACAGGAACTTTGGAGGAAGAGGTGGAGGGAGAGAAAGAAGTAGGCTTAGTTCACCACCTTAAACTGTTTCCACCTCTCTCAGTATTTTATTTATTTATTTATTTATTTATTTATTTATTTATTTATTTATTTATGTATTATATGTGTACATATCTTTCCATTGCCCCCCCATGCCCATACATGCCCTTCCCCCCAGAGTTTTTTGTCCATTGGTTTTGCTTATATGCATGCATACAAGTCCTCCGGTTGATCTCTTATCTCCCCCATAACTCCCTATCCTCCCCACTGTAATTTGACAGTCTGTTGCTTTACTGTCTCTGTATTTATCTTTTTGTTCATCAGTTTATAATGTTCTTTATTATCCATAAATAAGTGAGGTCATATGGTGTTTCTCTTTCATTGACTGGCTTATTTCACTCAGCATGATGGTTTCCAATTCCATCCAGGTTGCTGCAAATGATAAGAATTCCTTCTTTTTTATGGCAGCATAGTATTGTGTAGGTATACCATAGTTTTTTGATCCAATCATCTGCTGACGGGCACCTAGACTGTTTCCAAATCCTAGCTATTGTAAATTGTGCTGCTATGAACATAGGGGTGCATATTTCCTTTCTGATTGGTGTTTCTGGTTTCTTAGGATATATTCCTAGGAGTGACCCAGTAATCTCAATATTTTAAAACTGTCTTTGATTATTTATTATTTTGAAACAAAATGACAGCCAATAATAGTTGCCACCTAAATATAACTTCTGGTATTTTGAATGAATTTCCAGAAAAACTGGTCTATTTTTTTTCATATGCCGTTATCGTAAAGAAGCCTAAGATTCATTGAAAAGCTAGAAAACTGGTTCTGGTTTCAAGGGTGTCTCCTAATTTTTCTGCTTTAAAATATAATTTCTAGAGTAGCGATGAGAATAAAAATTCCCTCTCCCACTGCTAACAGTGTCCCTGGACCTTCTGGAAGGCTTTAAAAACTGCGGGCTCAGCCCGTGGCCTTTCACTAGCTCTCCTTGCATCTTTTTCATCTTCCGAGTTACAGAATAAGAGCACAGTTTAGGAACAATGGTCATAATCCATGGGTCTCATCTGTTCCTGTGATCAGAGGATCCTTACACCTCATAAAGGGAACCTTTTATAATGGGGTGTTCTTGGTGAAATCCCCAGATGAGGAAACACTAAATAAATTATAAAACAATAGAGAAGATATCCATCAAACTGTTAATAAGGGCTATTTCTGAGAGGTGCAATCATGTTAACTTTCTACCTTATACATTTCTGTATTCATGGAATTTGTGTGTTAGATTTAGGTCATTTTTATTATCATGAAGGAAACGAGGACCAGCCTGGCCTCTGTTTCCCCTGCAGTCTGCTTCCCCTTCCCCAGCTATATTTCCCAGTCTTTTCTGATGGAACCAATAGTGCGACCTCCCCACTGTCCTCCCGGGGGTCTCATGGTTCTTTTATATCATCTGCTCAGCAAATACTGCGCAAAGCAATGAATAATAAAACCATTGAATGAATTTTCCGTCTCTGTCCTTAGATTATGGTTTCCCAGACTTGACTGAGAAGGCAGGTCCTTTAGAAGACACCAGCCAGGGCCAAGAGGCGTCGAGCCTCCCCCCTCCCTTGCCTAAGATGAACCTGGTAGAGCCACCTTGGCATATGGCTCCTGGAGAGGAGGAAGAGGAAGAGGAGGAGGAAGAGGAGGAGGAGAAAGAAGAGGAGAAGGAGGATGTAGAGAAAGAAGAGGAGGAGGAGGAGGAGGAGGAGGAAGAGAAGGAGGAACTGCTGCCTGTGAACAGAGCCCAAGAAGAAGCCCAAACTCAGGTCCATGACTTTTCTCCCACCAGCAGCAGCCAGGCCCCCCTGGCCCCCAAACACAAGCATGAAGAATCTGGGGACCAGGCCTCCTCGGGTGTGGAGGTAGGGAGCAGCATGGAACCAAGCCTGTCACCGCCCTCTGCCACCCCAAGTACAGGGACCCTAGGGGGTCAGGACTTCACCAACCAGGAGGCAGGGGACACAGCGCTGCCAGCTGCAGGGCGTGAGGTAGAATTTGAGTCTCCGCAGGAGGCAACTGAGGAGGCTACCACAGGAATAACTGTGTTGGCTGGCAAGCAAGGAGAGGTGCTGTCCTTGGCCTCATTCCCTCAAGCAGAAGCCCCAAGTGGGGCCGAGACTCCATATGAAGACCCCCTTTACCCTGGAGCCTCAGCCACTGTCCCCCTGGCCTCCCAAGAAATGGAACTGACACCGTCCTCTGCTACCTTGGGACAAGAAGACCTCGGCCAGCAGCCACAGGAAAGGCAGGCTGCCGAAGCTCAATCCAGAATCCCCTGGGATTCTACTCAGGTAACGAGGAGGCACATGCAGGCCACTGGCTACCCTGGGGCTGCATTGCCATGGGAGGTCTGCCAGGCTGAGCCTGGAGGCCTTGACACCATGCAGAGTCTCAGCAGACCTGTTGGGGATACACATCTCATGGCTCAGCAGTGGGTGTCCGCACCACACTTATATGCAAAGTAGCAGCTTTGGAAGAGTCTGCTGCCTTGGCCTGGTTTTAATTTGTTCAGATGCTATTGCTGCTACTCCTGGCTTCCACACTGCTTATGACAGTGGCGAGAGTTTGTGCTTGACCTGAGTTCTCTCCAGCTGTTTCCATGCACACTCTCACATGTACAGTCACTCTGCTCCTACCCTCATCATACCTGCCCTGTGCTCACACCCTCCAACACCAGAAGGAAAGGAAAGGGGTCCTAAGTTTTCAGCCTGGGCATCTGGCCCACAGGCGTGTTTTTGTTTGCCCTACAGAGCATTAAAATCAAAGTTTGTTCCTAGCTGAGGCAAACTCTCTGTAGTCTGGCCCCTTTGGCACAGATTTCCTCTTCCTTTGTGTCACTCCCGGCCTCCTCCTCTCACTTGCCCCCTGAAGACATGTGGGTTTGTGAACTTGGGTTGGGTCCTGGGCATGTCACCTTGCAGAGGCTGTCAGCTCCCACCTAGCTATCACAGACCTATCCCTGGTCTTCACCTCCCAGCTTCTCAAGGAGTTCCTACCCAGGCTCTCTCTAGATGCCTGTGCTTATTATACTTTTGTAACTGTTCCTCTTCTTTCTGTTTCATTGTACAGGTGGTCTGCAAAGACTGGAGCAATCTGGCTGGGAAAAATTACATCATTCTGAACATGACAGAGAACGTAGACTGTGTGAGTGCTGAGCTAGGCTGAGGACCGCAGGCTGAGGTTGGAGGCAGGCAGGCAGACTGGAGGCAGTAGGCAGGCACTGGGGAATGGGCAGTGGATGGGGTAGAAGGCTTAGCTCTTAGTCAGAGGCGGTTAGCCTACCCCAGGGCATGAACCAACATCCAAGAAAACAGTGCTTTCATGTTTTCAAATTTCTAAGGGCTCTTTTGTTCTTGTTTCCCCTCCCCCCCTTTTTTTTTAATTTAAAAGAATACTTTTGCTCATGCATGCAATATCTTATCTCTCTGAGGACATGGAAATCATTTTTAAAAATATTTCCTTCCTGTATAGGTTGCTTTCCTGATTTCTTTGTTTCAGTCTCAGTTTTTCCACATGCACAGACTCTTCAAATGTCTGGCAGTGTTTGCCACCAGGAAGCTGGCTGGAAGCTTTGAGCGAAGTGGTGGAGTTTCTTAACGATGGCATCTCAGGAGGGTGGTCTGACTGGGTCATTTCATTTGAAAGTTTCTAATCCCAACATCATTAGGTCCTTCCTCCTAGGTGATTAGATCCTTTGGAAGGAGACTTCTTTTCTACTGGGAGCCTAAAGGGCTGGTTCCCAGTGTTCTGGGAACCAGGGTGGGCAGAAGGCTGGGTGTCTCAGTATTAGAAACATATGTGCATGCGTATATTTTACTTCCCTTGTTTACGACGTGAGCCCCCTTTCATAGTTGTGCCTGGTGTTTCCTGAGCCCTCTCTCCTTGGCTTGTAGATGACTGTCCTCTCCCCGTGTCCTCACATGGTGCTCCCCCTGTTCATGTCTGTGTCCTAACTCCTCCTCTTGTAAGAACACCAGTCATTGGATTAGGGCCCTCCCTAATGACCTCATTTTAACTTAATAGTTACCTCTCTAAAGGGCCTGTCTCCAAACACAGTGACATTAGGACATCCTGGAAGTTGGGACTTCAACATATGGATTTGAGGGTGACACAGCTAGTCCTTAGCAATACTCTTGCATTCCCCCCACTCCCTTTAACAATATACTCTGGAAACCACTTTACGACCATTACAGAGATCATTCTTTAAAACAACAACAACAACAACTTTATTCTTTAAAAAGAATTTTTTTTTTATTGATTTCAAAGAGGAAGGGAGAGGGAGAGAGAGATAGAAATATCAATGATGAGAATCATTGATCGGTTGCCTTCTACATGCCCCCTATTGGGGAATCAAGCCCACAACATGAGCATGTGCCCTTCACTGAACTGAACTTGGGACCTTCCCGTCCACAGGCCGAGGCTCTATTCACTGAGCCAAACCAGCCAGGGCAAAATATTTATTGTTGAGAGTATTACAGTTATTACCTTTTTTATCCCCTCTTGTCTCCCACCTCATGGTTCCTGCCCCACTGTGTCCATGGGCAATGCATATAAGTTCTTTGATTAAACTCTTCCAGCTTCCCCTTCTCCCTTCTCTCTGAGATTCGCCAATCTGTTCCATGTTTCCAAGCTTCTGGTCCTATTTTATTGTGTTCATTAGATTCAACATATAGGTGAGATCATGTGATATTTATATTTCTCTGTCTGGTTTATTTCACTTAGCAAAATCATCTCTGGGTCCTCCATGCTGTCTCAAAGAGTAGTAGATCCTTCTTTTTTACAGCTGCATAGTATTTCATTGTGTAAATATACCACATCTTTTTTATCCATTCACCTAATGATAGGCACTTGGGCTGTTTTCAGATCTTAGCTATTGTAAATAGCATTGCTAAGAACATAGGGCTGCATATATTCTTCCTGGTTGATGTTTTGGGATTCTTAAGAATATATCCTAAGTGGGATCACTGGGTCAAATGGCAGTTCCATTTTTAATTTTTTGAGGAAACTTCACACTTGTTTTCCATAATGGCCGCTCCAGTCTGCATTTCCACCAGCAGTGGACTAGGGTTCCTTTTTCTCCACATCCTCACTAGCACTTATTATTTATAGAAACCATTCTTAATCATTTTTTACAACTGCATAATGACTCTATTATGTTTGTATACCACAGTTGATTCATCAAATTACCTTTGTAGGGCAGTATTCTGCAATTAGTTCCAATGTTGCAGTAAATAATGTGCATATGTATTTTTGTGTAGTTGGAATGTATATTCAGAGTAAATTCTTAGAAATGAGATTCCATATGCAGTTTGTTAAATATTGCCAAATTCCCATTTCTCTCCCATTCTTAGAGGTTTAGGGCCTTATTTTTCCATCTACTTTGTCTTTTATTTATTTTTAAAATATATATTTTTTATTTCAGAGAAGAAGAATGAGGGAGCCGGAGATAGAAACATCAATGATGAAAGAGAATCATTGATTGGCTGGTTGCCTCCTTCATGCCCCCTACTGGGGATCAAGCCCACAGTCCGGGCATGTGTGCTTCACCAGAATCGAACCTGGACCCTTCAGTCTGCAGGCTGACACTATCCATTGAGCCAAATCGGCCAGGGCTATAATGTCTTTTAATATATACACGTTTATGTTTTCTATGTGTTTAAAATCTCTCTAATGTATTCTGGATGATTTTCTAGCTCTAGCTTTCAAATTAGTAGCTCTCCTCAGTTTTACCTAATCTTCTGTTTGACTCAATCTATCCATTGAGTCATTAATATAGATAATTATTTTATATTTTTAGAATTTCTGTTTGATTCCAAATCTCTTCCTTTTTAAAATTTTGTTCTCTTCTCTCATTATAGTTTCTATTCCTTTACTTCTTTAATTATTTTAAACATACTTATTTTATTATCTCTTTTATATTTAGTGACATCACATCTTGACCTGTCAGTTCTCCTGTTTTTGCATTTATGTCTTATTCCCTCATATGGATCATAATTTATTGTGATCTCATCTTAAACGCCAGGCTGTGAAAGAACTCCTACAGAGTGATTTCAGTGGATCTTCAGGAGTTCTAATAGTCTTAGAATAATTTTAAATTTATTTCTTGGCTTAGATATCTATACCACAAAGGACTACAAGTTTGGACTCCAGTCCCGGGTGAAGTGCAAGCCTGTGTTTTTAAGTGATTTTAGGTAACATTATTTCTCCTATTCATGGACACAGGCAGATGGCATGCCCCTTATAGCTCCTCCAGGTGAGTGGGGAGTTTTTTGAGTCCCCATTTTACTGAAAAGGCTGCTCTTTGAGGCTCTGTCCTGGTGCTCTACTGTAGTTCCCCACCCCACCTGGGCCAGGAGCACATTTCCTGTCTCCATGTGAGCATTGAAAGTCAGGTCTCCAACTGCTGGGTCCAATATCTGGGTCCTGGAATTACTGTGGCTTTAGTGTCAGCTTACTCTTCTGGCTTCAAGTTCCATTTGTTTTTGCTTCTTCTTTTTTTTATTTTTATTTAATATATTTATTGATTTTTTACAGAGAGGAAGGGAGAGAGATAGAGAGTTAGAAACATCGATGAAAGAGAGTCATTGATCGGCTGCCTCTTGCACACCCCCTACTGGGGATATGCCTGCAACCAAGGTACATGCCCTTGACCAGACTCGAACCTGGGACTCTTCAGTCCACAGACCAATGCTCTATCCACTGAGCCAAACCAGTTCAGCTGTTTTTGCTTCTTTTGAGCTTGAAGTAGGACATGCGTTTAGAACATCTTCATTGTTGTGTTGTATTTTGTCCAGTATTTCTGGTTTGTAGCAAAGTGGTAGAGCAGTTTCATCTGTCATCTTGCCAAAAGTCAAAATGTTCTGATGCATAATGAGTCCAATTTGTTGTAAAAACCATACCCATGGAGCTGGAGCCCCTACAGTGGGAGAACCTGTGTGATTTGTGAGAAGGTTCATCTGCCCAGGAGTTAGCACGGAAGATAGTTTATACCTGTGAGTGTACTGCATTTAAGAAAAGTTCTAATGACTTACAATATATGTCCAGAAAAACGCACAAGTCTTAAGTATACAGCTTGATGGATACCATTGATTTTTTAAATAGGAACTAAGTGTCGGTGGCCTGGGACAGTGGTTCTCAACCTTCTTAATACCGCAACCCTTTAATACAGTTCCTCATTGCTACTTCATAACTGTAATTTTGCTACTTTTAATGAATTGTAATGTAATTGTCTGTGTTTTCTGATAGTCTTAGGCTTACAGCAGTGGTTCTCAACCTGTGGGTCGCTAGCAATGAAAATAATCTTATGGCTGGGGGTCACCACAACATGAGGAACTGTATTAAAGGGTCGCAGCATTAAAAAGGTTGAGAACCACTGGCCCTGGGAGAAAAGCCCTGGCTTTGGAAACTAAATAATCTGGGTTCAAATCCTAGTTCTGCCATTTGTCAGTTTCATGACCGTTAGCCTAATACTGCACCTCTCTGAGCTTCAGTTTGCCCATCTGAAAATGTGGGCTTTGGTCCTAACAGCCTGGGCTTACTATGATGCAGGCAGTTGGGCCCAAGAAAATGTGAGGCATAGGGTTAGGGGTGGGGGGGAGATACACTGCTTGTGACAGGAGGGTGGGTTTGTTTTTTGTTTCTTTGCAAGCAGTGGGGCTGGTTGGACACAGTGCATTCTGTGTACCCTGCTCAGGCAGATGTGAGCCTGCACCCCTTCCCTACACACACACACACGAAGATGGTAAGAACCATTTCAGGAACTGGGAGTTTCTAGTTGCATGTGGCTATTTCCAGGTACCAGTGTTTTTCCAAGTTAAAAACTAAGTTGGATTTCTGTTAGGCCAGTGAGTGCCAAAGCTTGAGCCTGAATCTGGCACTTGCCATGGTAAGGAGGAACTTTACCCTAGTGACCTTCAGGTTGACATGACATCAGGGGAAGGCTCATTAGTTTGGACTCTAACAGAAAGGAGACTAGAAGTGTCAGCAGTCTCAGAGGAGTAGCCTGGTGAGATTCCTGTGCCTTATGGCTGCCCTGGCTTGCAGCTGAGCAGCTGGTGGTAGGTGGTGGGGGGGATGGTCTCTGGCAAGGAATCTTGGACTCTAGGAGTAGGGGACAGTTGACTTCCCAGGTATGGGAGGGAGAAGTCTGCTGGAGAGGAGCTAGGGAATAGGGAGATGGGGAGTAGGTAGCAGTCACAGGACCAAAGGAAGGTCTTGTTTCAGATGGGGCTAGGCAGGGACAATGGCGGGCTGGGAGCCAGAGGCAGGGTCCTGGTCTCCAGCCCCAGCCTGAGCTCCTGCCACTCACTGAGTTCCTGCTCAGTGCCAGCATCTTGCTTTAATACACACACACACACACACACACACATCCCCCTCCTTAAGAAAATCTAAACAGTACAAGAGAGTGTCAAATGAGAAAGAAGTCTCCTTACATCCCTCCTTTTGCTCCCAGCCCTGCTTTCTTTTTTTTCTTTTTCTTTTTTTAAGGGGGGGGGGATGTGTTAAAATTACCATTTTAACCATCACTGATTAGTTCTTCTGGCCACCACTACCAGCATTAGAGTACTCTGACTCTAATTGATTTATTGATTCCCCAACTTTACGCTGTATCTCTACAGTGACAGAAAAGAGATGAGCACAGTTAAACTGCTTCCCACCTCTCCTCCTGATCTTTGTTGGCTGAATGGTTGAAAATATCTTTTGTTGTTTTTTTATCCCTGCACCCAAAATATTTATCCCTTGCACTATACACTTGAACATGGACGCACCATGAGCAGTCTTCCATACTCCTTCAAATGCTACACACCCACTTCCTGGGCTTGTCATTGTACCTGGGCATACCTGTACCCCCAGCTCAACTGCGAGTATCCCTGGATAGGCCCCACGCCCTCCTCGTGGCGCAAAGCCAAGGCGGGAAGGAGTACGGTACCTGCATGCCTGTAGGGAACAAACCCACAGTCCTCGAGACGCAAAGCTCACAGCCTTTCCGTGGTCCAGATCAGCCCCCTCTGAAATAGCCAGATGGCCTTTCCCAGTGTGTGGCTGATGGGCGGAGGTTGGCGTGGGGGCTGGGTCTCCAGGCAGGGGGATTTAGAGCTGTGTCCCTCACTGAGCACAGGCTCTCTTTCTGCCCCTGCAGGAGGTGTTTCGGCAGCACTGGGGACTGCAGTTCCTGGCTCTGGTGGAGGAGGTGCTACCCCGGCATGGTAGCGGCCCCCACGGGGACTGGCACATCTCCCTGAGCAAGCCCAGTGAGAAGGAGCAGCACCTTCTAATGACCTTGGTGGGCGAGCAGGGTGAGCGGGGGGAGGGGCACCCACAAGAAGCTGGGTGTGTGTGTGTGGGGGGGGGGGGGGGTCGTTGGTTTGTTTGGGGAGAGGGTCCAAGAAGACAGTGGGAGGCGGGCCAAACCAGCAGAGGTTTCCCAAGGCCATGGGAGCTCTCCTGCAGAACTGTGAGAAAGTGCAGCCAGCTAGGGCTTTTGGATGTGGGATGGGCTTTTAGGATAGCAGGATGAGGTGCTGCTTGAGCCTCCTAGTTTAGGATCCAGGAGTACCAACAACAAGCTTGAAGGCAGGAGGAAGAAGGTGGGAACACTGGGAATAGGAGGGGGAAGAGTGTGGTTTCAGTACAGGTGCCAGACTGTGGCACTGTATGCTTTGTGGTGGGCTGAGAAGGAATGCAGACCTAAGGAGCTGTGGAAGTGACCACCTGAGATCACACCTGTCACTTAGTAGGCACTCACTAAATCTTTTCTAATGAGCCAGTCAGTGGGCAGCAAGCAGAGAAGCGAGATCTGTGTGTGGACAAGAGCTAGGGAGTGAGGCCCTAGAAACTCAGGCCAGAGGCTGCCCAAGGGGACCAGGAGTCCGAAGGGGGAAGCGCCTCAGTGGCCAAGGCTGGACTGATGATGCTGTCTCCCCCCAGGGGTGATGCCCACTCAAGATGTCCTTTCTGTGCTGGGTGATATCCGCAGGAGTCTGGTGGAGGTAAGAGGGCAGGGACGAGTTCCCGTGCTGTTCCTTCGCTCCGGCAGCCAGGCTACCTTCCCTGAGGGCAGGAGGGTGGCCGGCACCATGTGGAGCAAGGAGCAAAACAAACTCTTATTCTAGTCTCCTAAGACACAGTTCCCATGGGAGAGATAGAGTATATGAGCATTTAGCTATCAACTGCACTGTGCATGGGACAGTCAGGTGGGAGTTTTCTGGGTAGATAGTGGGAGAAACACTACTAGTATGTCTGGCCAAGGAACTGTTCAGAAGTCTGGTGGGTGGGAGCATGTGCTGTGGCTCCACAGGAGAAAGCACAAGAGGCCTGGGCATTTTTTCTGAAACCATGGGAGTCTGTAGTGCTTGACCAGCTGGGGTGCCAGCTGGGGTTGAGGGGCGGGGCTCAGGACACAGCAGACCGGCCTGCCTTCTTGCGATTCACCCCTGACCCAGCATCTGTCCTGTCCTGGAGACTGTGGCTGGGGAGACAGGCTGGCCACCTGTGCAGGGTGGAGCAGAGCCAAGGCTGATAGGAGGGGCAGGTCCCTATTGTTCCTCCTGTGTCCCATTCACTTCCCTTCCCGAGGACAGTCACCATCTCTAACAAAACCCCTTCCATTCATTGTGAAATCCAGTGATCTGTTATCAGTCCTCCTTTTAAAAAAATATATTTTTTATTTCAGGGAGGAAGGGAGGAGAGAGAGAGATAGAAACATCAATGATGAGAGAAAATCATAGAAACATCAATAATGAATCACTGATTGGCTGCCTCCTGCACGCCCCCTACTGGGGATTGAATCCGCAACCTGGGCTTGTGACCTTCACTGGAATTGAACCTGGGACCCTTTAGTCCACAGGCCATCACTGTCCACTGAGCCAAACCAGCTAGGGACAGTCCTCCTTCTTATTGAGGGCTGTATAATATTTGACAGCAAAGATGAACTGTGCATGACTGTGGTTCTGCCTCTTCAGTACACTCAAGGCGAAGAGGCGGATTCTTGTGGGGGTTCTGTGTTTTTTTGTTTGTTTGTTTGTTTTTTGTTTTGTTTTGTTTTATCAGCAGAACATATTGAATCCTTAGTGAGTGCCAGACTGCGCTTAGTTTCCTCACCACAGCCCCAGGGCTGTGAGCACAAGTAAGGCACCCTACTGAGTACCCTCGGTACTCCATTCAAGGTTAGAGCTGAAGCCCAGGAAGGTGGTGGCTCACCTGAGATTGCACAGCTAGCTTTAGGAGAAGAGCCAGGCTTTGGACTAGGCCTGAATGACCCAAGACCCTGGTCTTTCACCACAGCGCTGTGTCTATACTAAGGACTGTTCCGGCTGTGAACGTCTTGGCTTGTGAATCCTGAGAGCTGGAGGGAACAGGCTGGCCTTGAACTTTTTTATAGACTCTCCTGCCTCTTCTCCCAGTCCCTGGGTGCTCTGGCTTTACTGGACACTTCATGCTGACTGACATGGCCAAAAGCATGCCGAGCATTTGGAAGTGTATTAGTGGTCAAATTTAGCAAGTTCTAGCAAGAAATATGGACCCTTCATAACTTCAGTCAATAGAGGAAGATAGTGGAAATATAGAGGCGATTCACAGAAACCAAAGGAGAGCTGAATAACTGGCATTAGAAAGGGGAATGCAAGGCAAAAAGGGGGCTCCCAGCTCTCTGCACCGGGAGCCAGGAAAGAGCACCTTCACCCTGGCACCTGTCTTTTGAGGTGGGCACCTCACCTTTGCTGCCTTTCTGCCTGGATGCTGATTTGTGGAGAGAACGTCTGCTGGGCCAGGTCGAGGCACAGCAGCCTCTGGACCAGAGAAAGCAGGCCCACCCAAGACAAGCTGCAGTGTGGGAGTGGGTTGGGCAACTAAATACCATTGGTGACCACTCCAGGGGAAAAGGGGAGGAAGCTGGGAGGCCGGGGTGGCCCATGTGGGCTGTCCCCAGTATCTCCTGCCCTGTCTCTGGCCTGTAATGACCAGGATAATTCCAGAATACCCAGGGGCCTAATTCAGTGGTGTGTGGTAGAGGATGTGTAGCAAGTGGACCCCAGCTGCCCTTGTCTGTTTTCTTCCTTTTGAAACTGGTGGGACAGGTGTGGAGACTCAGTCTAGTTTGGATCATGACTGGCAGCATGGGGGTGGGCAGTCTCAGTCGGGGGGGGGGGGGTTGTGTGCTGGGGTGGTTAGGGTCACAACCAAATGGATTTTGAGCCAGACTTCTTTCCCACAGGTCCAGGGTCAGACAGTACCATGCTGGGGAGGAGAGGGGGGACATGGAATAGAAATGTAGGGTAGAGAGGCTTGGAGCTGCCCCCAGGGGAACAGGATGGTCATAGGGCAAAGAGAGTCCCTCATGAACACTGATCCGGCCCCTAAGGGACCTTCAGGAGCCAGGAAAAGCTTATCCCTGTCCCTAAGCCCCAGCCCTAGTGGGGTGGGAGCCATGGCACCCAGGGCCTCAGCTGAGGAGCCTGGCCCCTCCCACCCCCAGATTGGCATCCAGAACTACTCCACAACAAGCAGCTGCCAGGCCCGGGCCAGCCAGGTGCGCAGTGACTACGGGACGCTCTTTGTGGTGCTGGTGGTCATCGGTGCCATCTGCATGATCATCATCGTGCTGGGCCTGCTCTACAACTGCTGGCAGCGCCGGCTGCCCAAGCTCAAACACGTGGTGAGTGTGGGGGCAGGTGGGGCAGAGGTTGTGGGCTGGTGTTAGTGCTGGTGGAGATGGGAGTGCCCTGCAAGCTCTGTCATCTGCAGACTGCCATCTCAGGTGGGCTGGCAATACTGCAGGTGAGGCCACTTGTCCAGTGCCTGCATCTCTGTGCAGGGCACCAGCTGCACCCGCAGGAGCCCTCCATGGGTATGAGCTCAGGCCTCCTGGACAGAGTGGCCCTGCAGGCCTGAGCTCTTTAGGATGTCTCGCCAGAGAAGCCCTAGGTCAGCAGAGCACAGGAGTCCAGAAAAGACTCCTCACACAGGAGAGGGCAGGGCAAGAGATCCTTTCCCAGGAGTCCCTTGGAGTCTATAAGAAGGCTGTTGGGAGGGATCAGCTGGTGTTAGTCAAAGGATCAGTAGAATTATTTTAAGAAAGGATTTGGGCTGTGGGAACAGCGCAGAAGAGGGCAGAAGGGAAGTGGCATCTGTGGAAGGTCCCTGGGGTTTCCCGTGTAGGGTTTTACAGACTAGGGAAGGAGTACTGAAGTGACTTGTTCAAGGTCACAGGTCAGGTCAACGGGGCACTTAGTGCAGCTGGGGGTTGGGCTGGGGCCCGGGCCGAGGCCCCCGCCCAGCATCCTGGTCCCTCCCTGCCCGCAGTCGCACGGCGAGGAGCTGCGCTTCGTAGAGAACGGCTGCCACGACAACCCCACGCTGGACGTGGCCAGCGACAGCCAGTCGGAGATGCAGGAGAAGCAGCCCAGCCTGAACGGCGGCGGGGCCGTCAACGGCCCGGGGGGCTGGAGCGCGCTCATGGGGGGCAAGCGGGACCCCGAGGACTCGGACGTGTTTGAGGAGGACACGCACCTGTGAGGGCGGGCGCAGTGCGGGACCAGCAAGGCGGACCCAGGGCGCACAGCCACGCCCCTTCCTTCCCCGGCCCCGCACCCTCCGCAGCCCGGTTCCCGGTGCCGGCTCCTCCCTCCTACTCCCCCACCCGAAACTGTATGGCACAGCCCCACCCCAACCCACGTCCCGAGGGGCGGGTCCCGGGACCCCCATTAAAACTTCCCGGAGCCCATTCCGGGCCCGACACATCCGCCTGCCTGGCTTGATTTTTGCCGCGAGGCGGGTTCTGATCCGGCTGGCGAGCCGGAGGGAGGGGCGGGGCGAGAGCTGGAGGGGCGGGGCGAGCGAGAGGAGGGGCGGGTTAGCGCTGGCTGGGCGGGGCGAGCGAGAGGAGGGGCGGGCACTGGGGGAACAGTGGGGGCGGGGCAAGCGGGAGGAGGGGCGGGGCGGGCACTGGGGGAGCGGTAGGGGTGGGGCTAGCGGGAGGAGGGGCGGGGCGAGCGCTGGCGGGGCGGGCACTGGGGGAGCGGTAGGGGCGAGGCAAGCGGCCGGGGCGGGGTCGGCGCCTGTTTACTTCCAGTTCGGAAGCGTCTGTGCACCGCTGCGGTGCCGGATCCAGGCGATTGTGCCGCGTCTGCGCCATGGACATCAGCGACCTCTTCACCAGCTGCAGGAAGGGAGACGTGGGCCGAGTGCGGTGAGGACTCCGCAGCCCCGGCAGAGTGCGGCGCCCTCAGAGCGCCTCAGGCCGGGGTGTGCGGGGGAAAGCCGCGGGACAGGCGGGCGCCTTGGCCTCAGCACCCGACCCACCCCAGACCCCCGCTCACAGGCCTCGGGGCACACGGCAGCCTCACCGGCGGGGGTGCGCGGGGGCGGGTGCCGGAGGAGGTGCCGGAGAAGACCGCCACGCAAGGCCGGGAAGGGAAGTGGGCGGAGAGAAAGTTCACTCTGAGTGCCGGGGTCAGACCGGGCAGGCCTGGGACTCCCGACGGGGTTCCTCTCATGCCTCTGGACCTGGCGTTGGGAACATGTAGAGCCAGAATCGGCCTCTAGTCACCGGGATTCAGACATTCATAAATGTAGCTAAAGCAAATATGGCGTTGAAATCGCCATCTCAATGGCTCTGGCGAAGGGAGACTGGGTCCTATTGGGGGTGGGGAACCTGTCTTCCTTGACCCTTCCTTCCCCATTACTTATGCCCACAGCTTCCTTTGACCCTCCCTCCCTCATATCAGTGCCCCCTAGGAGTTATTTGGTAACTTCCAAAGCTAGATGCTACTCAGCACTCCTTGCAACCTGGATGTCCCCCAAGGCTGCCCTGCTCAGTGATGGCTCCATCACCATCCATGATGACCCCTTACCTTGACATTCCATCAGCTACCTGCCTCCTGACTTCCGCCTTCTAGAATCTGTCTACTTCTTTCATGCTTCTGTGCCACCAGAATGCCTGCAAGCAGCTTCCTCTTTGGACCCAAGCTGCCAGGGGGACTTGGCAGAAGCAGCGCACGGGGTCACCTCCTCATTCCCAAATGCCTGCAGGCCCATTTCAGTCTCTTCAGCTCAGGGTCTGCCTTTTGTGTTCCCACCTCTACATCCTGCCCCACTGGCCCTTTTGCTCCGAATGTCTTTCCAGCTCTAGTCTGCCTGTCACCCGCCCTCCCTCACCTGGGGGAGACTTCCTTCAGCCAAAAAGAATGTCTTCCCTCCTTCCCCTTCCACGGGTCTCCTCTCCCAGACTATGAGCCTGTCCTGACCCAGGCTCTGACCTCCCCTTTCCCTGCCCAGGTACCTGCTGGAGCAGCGAGACGTGGATGTGAATGTATGGGACAAGTGGGATAGTACCCCCTTGTGAGTGCCAGGGATGGGTGGTCAGGGTGGATGGGGCAGCCCCTTCAGTCCTGCAGCTGCCCCCAGTACTCCTTCCTTCTCCCCTCAGGTACTATGCCTGTCTGTGTGGGCATGAAGAACTGGTACTCTACCTTCTGGCCAATGGTGAGGGAAGGGGACAGGAATTCCATCCACCGGTGTGTGTGTGTGTGTGTGTGTGTGTGTGTGTGTGTGTGCGCGCGCGCGCACACGCGCGTGTGTATGTATACGTGTTTTTCAAGGGCTCTAGAGCATGTGTACACATTTGCAAACACCCTAAGTCCTCTCTCTCACCCCTACACCCAGTCAGCAAGTACTGTTAGCTCTGCTTTCAGAAGCATTCTCTGTCCACTTTCCATCTCCACTGCTCCTGCCCAACCCAGCCAGCTACAGCATCTCTCCCTGGACCGTCTCTCCCTGGATGCAGTGCCAGCCTCATCACCGGTCTTATTGCTGTCCCTTCTGCCCCACCTACATACAGCCTGTTTTCTATGTTGTAGCCAAGTGGAGCTCAGCGAATGTGATGGGCTTATTAAAATCCTCTAGTTGCTGAAACCGGTTTGGCTCAGTGGTAGAGCATAGGTCTGCGGACTGAAAGGTCCCAGGTTCGATTCCGGTCAAGGGCATGTACCTGGGTTGCGGGCACATCCCTGGTTGGGGGTGTGCAGGAGGCAGCTGGTCGATGTTTCTCTCTCATCGACGTTTCTAGCTCTCTGTCCCTCTCCCTTCCTCTCTGTAAGAAAAATCAATAAAATATATTTAAAAAAATAAATAAATAAATAAATAAAGTAAAATCCTCTAGTGGCTCCCACTGCATTGAGCATAGAACTGGAATGCCTTGCTTTGCCTGGGAGCTGCCACACGGCCTGCTCTTCCTTCTCTGGCCTCTTCTTTGGCTCTCCCACGCGCTCGCTCTTCCAACCACAGGGGTCTTCTCCTCAGTGCTCTAGCGCTCCAGGCTTGCTTCTGCCTCAGGGCCTTTACCCCTGCTGTTCCTCCTGTTTAGAACGCCCTTTCCCAGATCTTTGCATAGCCAGCTCTCTCACTTCATTCCAGTCTCTGTGCATTGTCACCGCCACACTCCCTTCCTCGGCCTCCCTCTCTGGCAGCTGCCATCACTGTCACCCTTCCTCTTGCTTCATTTCCTTCAGAGCACCTGATACCGTTTGTTGATCTGTTTCTTGTCCTTCTGCCCCACTGGAGTGTCACTTCAGTGAGGACAGGAACCTGTCTTTTCACGGTAGTGGCCCCCGTGCATAAGACCAGCCTCTGAGCCTACTCTGTTTTGTGTAGTTCGTGGTGTGTGTGAGTGAATGTGTGTATGTGAGTGTACAGGACTTTGCCTGTGTGCCTGAGCCCTGGGGTCAGAGTGGGTCCAGGGTCATTTAGGAAGGAGTCTGTAGGGCCGTGGTCAGCAAACCACAGCTCTAGAGTCACATTCAGCTCTTTGGCCCCTTGAGCGTGGCTCTTCCACAAAATACCACGTTTTTAGCAAAGGCCAGCTTAGGAGTGCCCTCATTAAGTTAATAGCAATGTACCTGCCTATATAGTTTTAAGTTTAAAAAAATTTGGCTCTCAAAAGAAATTTCAATCGTTGCACTGTTGATATTTGGCTCTGCTGACTAATGAGTTTGCCAACCACTGCTCTAGGCCTGTGGGCTCTACATGTGGGGAGGAGTGGAGGAGAAGGACGGAGATTAGGATTTCCCAGGCCCCTCCCCAGCTGCAGCATGCCACCCCATGGCCTGCTGACTGATGAGCTCTGCCGCCCTTAGGAGCCCGCTGTGAGGCCAACACCTTCCACGGTGAACGCTGCTTCTATGGGGCTGCCAGTGACACCATCCGCCGGGCCCTGCTTGATTATAAGCAAGTGACACCCACCTCCAGGAGGCGGGACTACTATGACGAATTCCTGCAGCGGTGAGATGGAGTGTGGGGCATCTGATGGCCTTTGCCCACTGGGTCTGTGATGGGTGTGGCCTGCAAGGGACTGAGAGCCTTCCTACAAGATGACATGAGGGACTGGAGCGGTGAGACGGAGGAGAGGCACTCTCCTGAGCCCTCTTCCACCTGTTGTCTCCTTCCCCCAACCCCTCCTCACCTCTCCAGGCTTCTGGACCAAGGCATCCACAGCGATGTGCTCTTCGTGGTGCACGGGAAGCCCTTCCGGGCCCATCGCTGCATTCTGGGTGCACGCAGCACCTACTTTGCCAACATGCTGGATACCAAGTGGAAGGGCAAGAGCATCGTGGTCCTCAGACATCCACTGGTGCATCCCTCTCTGGGGCGGGAGAGCGGAGGGACAGCAGGGGGCTTGTGCTGGACCAGGCTTCTGACCTTCCTTCCTGGCTCTCTGCCTGCAGATCAACGCGGTGGCCTTTGGGGCCCTGCTGCAGTACCTGTACACAGGTGACACCCCAGGCCTGGGCCGGGCGGGCAGGGAGGGGGCAGCGTTTCTGTCCAGCAGCAGGTCCAGCTGTAGCCTTGGGCTGACCTTCTACCACCTGGTGCTTTGTCCCCTGCATTGCAAGGCAGTTCCAGTTGCCTCCTGGGTGGGGTTGGGAGACTGTGAGCTGGGCTGTCTGCTAAGGAAGAGCTTATTTCACCCACAAACTGAGCCCCCTTTTATCTGCTCTGGGGTCTGTAGAACTCAGACAGTGGCTCTTGGGAAATGAAGGCAGCATGTAGGCCCAGAAGTCTCAGCAGACAGGCGACCTGTGAAACGATGTGCCTGGGAACTGCGAATGGCCGCTCTCAGGCTCTGAGCCCCCCACGTGCCCCCAGGTGGCCTGGACGTCGGTGTGGAACACATCATTGACTGCGAGCGCCTGGCCAAGCAGTGCCAGCTATTGGATCTGCTCAACGACCTGGAGGCCAAGTGTAAGGAAGTGTCTGAGTTTGGTACGTCCAGGCTTTGGGGTTCTGGGCTTTGGGCGGGAACTGGCAGGGCCAACCTGGCTCCCTGAAGCTGCACTGTCTCTGCAGTGGCATCCAAGCCAGGCACTCATGTGAAGGTGCTGAGCATGAGGCCCCCTGCAGAGGACCCCCGGCTCCGGGAGGACCTGGCCCTATTGGCTGACTGTGCCCTGCCCCCTGAGCTCCGCGTAAGCACACAGGGGCCTGGGACTGGGCCTGGTGGGCAGGAGACTTACCTGGGGACAGAGCTGTGGTAGGCAAGCCCCACTTTGGGGTTCAGTTCCTTATGTGGCCTCGAGCCATTCACTTCCCTTTCCTGAGCCTAGCTGTTCACTTTTGTTGTTTGTCTTGTATTTCAATCTGCAAATGAGGTTGCAGTCCACCCCCCTTCACTCCTCCAGGATCGAGCTAGAGTGGCTGAGGCCAGCCACTCTGCCTTCTCTCACCTACATTAGCTAACGGTGTCTCCTCTCCTGCCCCCCAGGGTGATCTTGGGGAGCTGCCTTTCCCCTTCCCTGATGGCTTCAACAGCTGTCCTGATGTTTGCTTCCGAGTGGAGGGTTGCAGCTTCCTCTGCCACAAGGTGCTGTCCACAGCTCCCTGAGCCCCTGTCTTAAGCCCTAGGCCAGCTTCTGTGGGCACAGCCCAGGCCCTGGCCTTTCCTAAGCCCAGCCTCCCCCAGGCCTTCTTCTGTGGCCGCAGCGACTACTTCCGGGCCCTGCTGGATGACCACTTCCGAGAGAACGAAGGGCCAGAGGCCTCTGGTGGCCCCCCGGCCATCACCCTGCACGGCGTCTCGCCACACATCTTCACCCACGTGCTCTACTACATATACACCAACCACACCGAGGTACGGACTGGGGTCGGCTGCGTATACTGTGCCAGGGGCAGGGGGGTGGGGGACACCATGGTCAGGACAGGTACACAGCCCATGTCCGTGTGGGGCTTCCAGGGTCTGCCCAGGACCTCATTGGCTTCGAGGGACAGGTTTTCCATGAGGCTGCAGAGCGAGTGTGGGGTCCATTTAGATTTTTCTTTCAGGCAGAGGGGTCTTCATTAGATCCATGATAAGATTGAATGACAAGATTTATGTCATCAGCACTGGACACTTGGGGACATAGTGTCAGCCTCGTAAGGTCCCCAACTTCTTCAGCCAGAAGACAGTAACCTCTGTCTCCCTGTGTCTTCACCTGCCCCAAGGCCCCCCATAACATAGGGTGACATGGGCAGCAACAGAGAGTGCCAAGAGTATCCTCTGCCAGGGTGTTCTCTGCCAGGGTTTGTGTGCGTGTGTGCATGGAAAGGTTACTGTAATAAAAAAAACAACAACACACAAATATGGTAACTTACAGAAGAGAGAAGTTTCTTCCTTCAGGTGGAGGTGAGTACCCCATGGCGGGCCAGTCCATCTTGGGCTGCAGGCCACATACAGCCCATTTCGTTAATACATTTTTAAAAAAATATATCTTATTGATTTTTTACAGAGAGGAGGAGAGAGGGATAGAGAGCTAGAAATGTCAGTGAGAGAGAAACATCAACCAGCTGCCCCTTGCACACCCCCCACTGGAGATGTGCCCGCAACCAATGCACATGCCCTTGACCGGAATTGAACCTGGGACCTTTCAGTCCGCAGACCGATGCTCTACCACTGAGCCAAACCGATTTCGGCTGTTAATACATTTTACTGGAACACAACCATCCCCATTCATTTCTCTACTGTCTGGTGGTTTTGCACAATGGCAAAGCCGAGCAGTTGCAACAGAGACCCTGTGGCACAGTATTTACCACCTAGCCCCTTAGAGAACCCTCCTACCTCTTTATTTCATCTCTCCGGTGGTGTAGTTCAGCTCTCTGGCCCCTGCCACCCAGCGTCCACCTTGGCCCACCCTGACCCTAGGAAGAGCTTTGCCACCCAGAGGGCAGCTTCTTGATGACTCAGAGCAAGGACTCGGGCTCCAGCCCTGGTTTTACTCTGGGTTAGCCTCACCTCTATATCGGAGCTATGTGATCTTGGGCTAGTTACTCAACTGTTTTGTGCCTCAGTTTCCCCTCTAGAAAAGGGATACTGATAGTTATTACTTCCTAAGGTCTTGTGCACATGAATGTGTATGTTGCAGGCACAGTGCCTGGCACAAGTAAGCACCATGCACCTGGCCTGTGATGGGCTTAGCAGAGGTCCTATTTGCTCCATTTCCAGCCTGTTCCCTGTGGCCATCCACAGTCTAGGTGCAGCACATGGTCTCTCCCAGCATGAGTACAGCTATGGTTGTACCTTAAATCCCATAGCCACTATGATGGGAGGGAGCTGGTCAATAGTTACTCCCCTGCCTTTTTAGTAGGGTCCTTGCCTCAGTTTTTATAGAAGCAACTTCTGTCACTTCTAACAGCCGTGTAAAGCACTCATGATTGTGTCTGCTGCATCTCACAGAGGATCTGAAGCACAGAGGTGAAGTGATTTGCCCAAGGTCCCACAGCTAGAATTTCCAAGCTCAGGTCTGTGTGATTCAGAGCCCGGGCTCCACCCTGCCTGAGCCATGGGAACCCCAGACTCTTTTTTTTTTTTTTTAATATATATATATATATATATATATATATATATATATATATATATAATTATTATTATTATTATTTTTTTTTTTTTACAGAGAAGGGAAAGGGAGAGAGAGTTAGAAACATCAATGAGAGAGAAACATCGATCAGCTGCCTCCTGTACACCTCCTACTGGGGATGTGCCCACAACCAAGGGCATTGTACTTGCCCTTGACCGGAATTGAACCTGGGACCCTTGAGTCCATAGGCTGTTACTCTGTCCACTGAGCCACACCATCAGGGCTAACCCCAGACTCTTGTGTCCCTTCTGGTCCCATGGATGCCTGCAGGGGTCTGGGTCAGGGAGCTCCTGCTCTACCCGAAGCCTCCACCTTCTGGCCAGCAGGCTCAGCCTTGCTGCCGGCCCCGGAGAGGCCTTGGTGACCTTAGGGTGCACCCTCCCTCACTCCCGTTTTCTCTGCAGTTGCCCCCGGAGGTGGCCTATGACGTGCTGAGCATGGCCGACATGTACCTGTTGCCAGGCCTGAAACGGCTGTGCGGCCGCAGTCTGGCCCAGCTGCTGGATGAGGACAGCGTGGTAGGCCTGTGGCGCGTGGCCAAGCTGTTCCGCCTGGCACGGCTGGAGGACCAGTGCACCGAGTACATGGCCAAGGTTATCGAGAAGGTGGGCCGGTGGGAGCCTCCGTGGGTGGGGGCAGGCAGTGGAGGGTGGCAGGCAGCGGTGTGCCCTGAGTGTGCCTGTTCACAGCTGGTGGAGCAGGAGGACTTTGCGGAGGCTGTGAGGGAGGAGGCGGCGGCCGTGAGAGGCCGGCAGGAGCAGGACTCCATCCCTCTGGTGGATGACATCCGCTTCCACATCACCAGCGTGGTGCAGACCTACAGCAACATCAAGGAGATGGAGCGGCGGCTGCACGCCCTTGAGGACCTGCTGGTGTCCATTGGCCTGGACTGCTGACTGACACGGGGCCAGGGGCTCCCTGTGGACTGCGCACGTGGTTTGGGCAGCCGTGTGCTCTGTGTGCTCCTCGCACCCTCCAGGGCGCTGTGGTGTGTGGAAGAGACTCAATGGCTCCCTGCCCTGGTGTGCTTAGAGGCCCCAGGGCGGATCCCCTGAGGACAAGCTTCCTCCCCAGGGCACACGCCAGCCCCCTCCACCCTGGGGCTGGGCGCCACTCAGGGAAGCCTGGGGTGTGACCTCTCAGCCTCCTTCCCCAGGCCCCCCTCCCCGCCTCTCCCTGGCTGCTTGCTTCCTCAAACCAAGCCACCTTCTCACAGGCACAGAGATGGCCAGGAGGGAGCAGCAGAGTCTGTGTGGCAATAAAGCTTGAATTCACTGGGAACCTGAGCCCCGGGAAGATGGTGAGATGGGGTGTAGGGCAGTTTCCAGAGTTGGGGACCCTCATGGGGAGGTTTAGGTGCCCAGTAGGGGCTACTCAGGGATTAGGGGTTGCCTTGGGTCTATGGGTCTTCAGTAGGCAGCCCCTGTTTGTGGGGGCCCTGAAATCTCTCAGTTGAGCTCCTCACCACAACCCTGCCCCAGGGCACTCCCCTCAGGGCACAGCTCCCCCTTCCCCCCCACCTCTTGGTGAGGTCACACTGACCAACTGCCTGGCCTGGGGGCCCTGGAGTGGGTCGGGCTGACTGTGGACACAGGCTGCTTCCCCCTCAGGCCAAGTAAGGACTGCCTTCTCGTTTACTGAGCACTTACTATATATGGAAGGCTGTTCATACAGCTGTAGTGTCTAATCATCGCTGCCCAAGGCACAGGGACTGAGGCTGGGCCACAGACAGGATAGGGAGCGGGGGGAGGGACTGGGGAGCCCTAGCCAGCCTGGGAGCAGCTTGCTCTGCAATCCCAGGATGAAGGGCAGGGAGAGGTGGGTGCAGAGAAGTGAAGAGGGAGGAAGCCCTCTGACTCCCCACTCCGCACCCCACTAGCCACTGGCTGTGTTGGGCCTCATGGCAAGAGGGGGACTGTACCTCACTTTCCCTCCGCCCCAGGCCAGTCTCCTCCTGGCCCCTCCTACGGGGCTATGGCATTATTAGCGAGGTCAGAGGTGGCTTTCTCAGGATGCCCTTCTGGCTTTCAGCCCCCCATTGCCCTACCTGGCCCCCGAGGCCCAGGTGTTGTGTAGGTAGCTAGGTATTAAAGGAAGAAAGCAAAGGGAATCCGACATTGCCTCAGCAGGAAGTTACAACTTAACACACTGCTGAGAACCACTAGTCCCTTCCTGCCGATCACTGGCGCAAGGGGCAGAACAATGAAGGAGGAGGTACACAGTGCAAAGTAGAAGTAAATTCGCTCAGGGGGAGGTGCTTCTATGAGGCATGCGCATAGAGGCCAAATGACCACAGAGGACTGCCAGTCAAGCCTGAGAGAAGAATGGATTGGTCGGAGTGGTCCTATCAGAAGCTCCGGAAGCTTGGAAGTTGATTGGTTACTTTGAATACACTGGTCCTCCCCAAACCCAGGTAATCTAATCCCAGGACTCAAAGCCAGTCCCTCTCTCCCTCAGCAGCACACACTCACCCTTTCCTTGCCTTGTTCTCACTCCATAGCCAGGTGGCCTTAGCAGCCACATGGCCATTCTCTAAACACAGGCTCCAGGCTGGAGCCTGGATAAAGCAGCACAGCTATGGATTGTAGCCAGGAACCCAAACTAAACTAGCCGGATGGTGAGAAACTCCGGACTGGACTACGTTTTAATGTGGATACTGGTTCTATTTCTGATCCCAATTTCCTGTGGCAGGAGGGACAGCGATGGGACCTTGGGAACTGCCTTCTATTTCCACCCAAATAAATCTTACCACCAGACCTCATCCTCCCTTGTGGGTCCCCCAAAACGCTTTTTCTCCCGACACCACAAGAACCCACTTCCATCGGCAGCCCAGAGCTGCACCCCAAGGCCTCTCGCTCCAGTCTGCCTTGGGAACAGCAGGCTGAAACCCAAGTGGTGCCCAGAGCCCTGGGAGGACCAGAAGCTCACTGTTCTCCCACAGGCTGGATGCTGGTTACGTTGGCCCCCTCCAGTTTGTTCCATGTCACTTCACACCTTGTCACTCGTGTTATTTGCCAGAACTTCAGGGAATCTCTTTCGTTGCCTGTCCAGTGCGTTTCATTTGTGTTGGTTCGGGAGGGGAAGCTGTAAGGTCTGAATGATAGGAGGAGTGATCATTGAACAAGTTGGCAGGTAGGCTGGGAGGAGTGGTGAGGAGGGGGAGCTCGCCAAGCTGACGGGGTGGTCCTGCTGGTGGAGGGCAGGGTTTATGGAAGGTCCTGGAAGCCTGACAGGAGACTGGGGGGTCAGCATGGCCAGAGGGCAGGAGCTCCCACCCCGGCTCTCTTACTGCCTGGCGGTGTGCTGTGCCTGTTTGCCTCTGTAAATGGGAAGTCATTTTTATAGTAATTCCTCTCTTGGGGTGTTGAGTTACTACTTGTGAAGGGCTCAGTGCAGCACTGGTTGTAAATGCTGAGCCTGGAGAGAAGATGAGAGTAGGAAGTGATTGGGGCGGGGGGAGGGGGCAGGCGGCTGACTTGCATCTTTAAAAGTTCACTTGGGTGTTTGGGTGTGCCCTACAACCCCAGCTTGTAAACACAGGGCATGATGTCCAAAGAAGGAATGGAGGAGGAGTGCTGAGTGGGAGCTGGGGGTTCATCTGACTTGTGTGTAGTTTTTTTCTTTTTAAAATATTTTTATTGACATTTAGAGAAAGAAGGAGGGAGAGGGGGAGAGAAACATCCATCGGCTGCCTCTTGCACACCCCCCATCAGGGACTGAGCCCACAATCTAGGCATGTGCCCTGATGGGGAATCAATCAAATCAGCAACCTTTCGGTGCACAAATTACACCCAACCAACTGAGCCACACTACCGGGGCACTTGTATGTAGTTTCCAATGCTTTCAGAATGTGCAGTGTGTAGCTGTACTACTTTTAGAATGGAAAAGCACATCTATCCCTGACTTCATTTTAATTCACTCCTGGTAAGTGCAAAACTGCTCAATGAGAAAATACAAATTTTCATAAATTTTATTGGGTAATATATGCATTCTATCCTAATTCAAGGCACCTACATATTTTTCACTGCAGGAAAAATAGTTCAGCCAAACACTGACAAAATAAGCAACAAGGGAAAAGAAAGAAACAATGCTTATACACATAATGTAAAGTAGGGGGTGGCTTGTTTATACCCTTGAGAAGAGAGAAGGCGTGATGGTGGGGCAGGGCGGAGACCAGATCAGGAGCAGTGCTGTGCTGAGTCATACTAAGTTTGGAAGCAAAAAGAAAAGCCAGACCCTAACTTTATTTAAAATATGATTCGGTTTATCATTTTTGGGCATTAATTTTGATTTTAAAAATTACAGTGTTATCTTGATTACTAAGACTTTTGGTGCCCCACTACATTTTGTGTCTAGGTGAGTGCAAAGGTGCCCATTATGGTATCTATAATAATAAAAGTGTAATATGCTAATTAGGCCTTGTTGGGAGCCATCAGAGTTGAGACAAGCAACTCCATCTTAAGGAAATAGAATTAAGTTCCTTCTAGCAGAAGTTATGCGGTGCCCTGAGGGTTTGGCCAGAAGATTAACCTGCCGCTTAGCCTCTTTGCAACTTTCCCTTCCTGATCCTCCCTCATAGCTAGCCCAGCCTTGGAATGTTACACCTTGGAATGTTACGCCGCCCTGGCAGTTAGCCAATCCTGTGTTGCCAGATACCTTACCACCTTGCCACTCAGTGCCTAAACCAATTATACACTGCCAAAGACCCCTTTGCATAGGCAACCCTGCCCCCCTTTGTTTCTGCTGTATATATACAGCCATTTCAAAAAATAAAGTTGAGGCTTGATCAGAACCTTGTCTTGCCTCCATTCTTTCGCATTCCTTGTTTGTTTCATTCTCTTAGGTGGTTCCTGCGTGCCCCCGTTGTTGTCCCGCGGGTTGGGACAAGACCTGACATCCTTATGGACGTCCTTCTAGATGGAGCCTGGGCTGCAAGATAAGCCCGGGTCCTGGGTGCCAGAGGGAAGCTGGTGCCTGCACCCAGGGGAAGGAAGGCCTACTCTTGCATGATTTTGTGCATCGGGGCTCTAGTTACAAATAAACAGGAAACAACCAAAAAGCCTGAGTTGTAATCACGGAAGGAAATTATGGAATAGATGTGGCTGCAAGGATGTCAGTGCAGCTTCTGTTTCCCCAAGGGAAACACGGGCTCATTCAGTCCACCTGGGGTGTGCCCCACAACCCCTTTGGCCTTGGCCCAAACAGCTGTTAACAGGACGTCAGTCTATAACGAAAAAATAAAGTATTTTTTTTCACCCGTTCTCTAAAATCCTCTCCACCTGAAGAAAAAAACAAAGAATGAAAATTTTGCATCCTATGTTCTCTCCTCTACCTGGAAAACTCTTACATAGCCTTCAGTGCCCCCTCTCACAGCAGCAGACTGAGAAACCCAAGGCAGGGTGAGGTTGCCCCCTGGCCATTGGCATGGCAAAGTCAGGAGTGCTCTTGCCAGGACTCAGGGCAGCCTTAGTCCCTGGAGCAGACATTTGAAGATAGAACATTTTTTCACTTTGGAGAACTCGGGAGTCAGGGACTTCTGGCTTTAGGTGACCTTTACTGGCCTATTGTCCTTGCTCTGAGCGCGTCTACCTGCCTACCACGACCTTACAGACTGACCTTGTCATAATTTCCTAACGGGGCTGCTGAGGTGGGTAGTCACTCCCCATGCATACAACTTTAACAAAAGATTTGAAGTCCATTGTTCTTGTGCATCTAGGCTAACTCACCTCGGAGACCCCTGGAAGGCATAACCAGCCTTAGTAAAACACATGCTCTTGTTACCTATCCTGTTATTCACTCCCCATCTTGCTGTCTCCCACCTCCATGTAATCTTTACTTTCCCTCCTTAATTTCAAATGCGTACAGGAAGCTGCAAAACCTGTCCTGCAGAGCACCTGAGAGCTTGTTCCCTGGTGTATTTCCCCAGTTTGACTCAAATAAGTTCATAAAAAGTCTCTACAGGTTTGGCTTTTTCCCCCATTGACACTTATCTGTAGAGCTTTTTGAAGATAGACACATGTTCTTTACATTCTCTCCCGATTCCTTGACCCTCAAACTTAGTTGGTCACCAAACCTTGTTGATTTTGCCTCTTTAAGAGCTGCTTCCTCAGTATCCCCTTTTCTGTCCCCACCACCCCAGGCCCCTGCCTCACCAGCAGCCCATTCTCCCTGCCCTGCTGGCATCTCCTGGGCAGATACTGAGCCCGGGTCCCCTCTGTGAAAGCCTGGGTGTGCACTCTTCGTTCCTGGGCACAGCCTGCTGGCTCTCCCTGATGTCTGAG